GACGTTATACCGAGCTGTGGACCAGGAACGCCTGTCATCTGCTGTAAACTTAAGCTAGACATGATAACAAGGTCAGTACTTAACAGGAGGTGACACAGCGACGGGGGTGCAACCCCAAATTATTGTGGCATTATACCAACACTGGATTATCGTCGTATATTATACTAAACTGTGGTTAAGTCCAGGGGGGTGGCAGAGCGACGGGGCTGCATAACTGGATTATTGTGACATTGTAGTTTATTATAAACTGTGGGCCAGTCCTGCCTAGCAATCTTTACGAACACTAGCTGACCGAATTGAAAAAAATGTGATAGTAAAACCGTAAGAAAAAATCCGTGGAAAAAAGTGCGTGGAATAAAACCGTTAAATGCGCATTAGCCGAAGGAACTTAGTTCCTACCTGGTGTCCCACGACACCACATCATTTTTTTTTTGGTTCTAGCGCCCTAGTCTCATTAGCCTGTGGGTAATTCAGGCCCTAATAAACAGCCATGACTTAGGTACAAATGTTCCTGTTCATCATACAAAGACAAACATTTGCCCCACCGGTAATCGAACCCAGGACCTGGGAGTAGGCGACACCTACCTGTATACCACACCACCTAGGAGATCCTCCACGATGCAGGGGATGAGGCAGACCACGGCGCGAATTGTAGATAATCTGATATAACAGGCGTCTCTAGACCTCAGTATATATGCGGGCAAAGAACAATTTCAGCCCACGTTGTCTTTGTTGCATGCGTAAAAAATGCCAGTACTCTTAGTACGAGTTTTACAATTACGAAAACTATGATAGTTTTCGTGAGCTCGCACTCGTACTAAGGGTACTGATTTTATTGTTTTCATTTCAATAGAAATAAACAGTGTTTAAATTCTATCATTAAATCATTTGCGTCTTCTTTAATTTTAAGTACATTTGGTTAGTTTTCACCAAAATGGACATAGAAACATAATTTACAATTACGAAAACTATGATAGTTTTCGTGAGCTCAAACTCGTACTGAGGGTACAGTAGTGACAATCCATCTATAGGTATGATGGCCGCTCCACTCTGAGCTTAAATAGTCGGTCTATGGCTTCGCTCTTATGGGCCATACTCACATGCAGTATTAGTCTATAGTTTTACTGTAATGCTAATAATAATCAACATATGGAGCGCAAAATTCACAACTGGAAGGCTCCTTCGTAGGACGCGACACTATTTTTACTCGCTTTAGAGGCAAACTATCGAGTTGTAACTTCTTCATCCGTGTTCTGCAAGACATCAAAAACTACATAAGTTAGAGTAGTATGGAAAAAAACGAAACCGACACGAAAACGATTATAATATATTAGCAACTTATATTCTAAATTAATTTTCCGAATGTAGGAGCGGTTGCAACCGCAACATCGATAAAATAATAAGAAAACCAGTTACGCACACGTGACATCAACATCACACTGTGTTTCGTAGAAATGTTTAATAAACACACTTATTACTTTAATTAATTTAATTTATTACTGTTTAGACAAACAACATTTTCATAGTAGCATAGTAGTTCATATGGTAGTTCCCCCTTTTTTTTTTTAACGCAGGTAAAAAATCTTTTTACAGACGACGGCGCCTTTAAGAGGCACACCGCCGAACGGACCTCACACCTGGCTCCCGCTAGTATTACGGACCCCCCAGTGGCTACCCACCGAGGACCCCGCAACTCTTACGGGCGCTTTACGGTATAATATCCGCTAAAAAAAGTCCTGCGAATACCTCTACACTGCTTAGCGCGAAGCCGCGGGGTCCCCGTTTACGGAGTCTACCACGGCTCCACCCCCAGCAGCTTCCCGGCCTCGCCGGGGCTCCACGGCAGGGGTCTCCCGCGGTATTTCGGGGACCCCGCAGACGTGCGCAGGTAGGCCCGCGCGTGGGCCGCGCGCTAAGTACAGAACTGCAAGATAGGGGGCCGCCGTTCCTGGGGGAGCGGGAGGAAGAGCGATTTCCCCTCCTTTTCTCCTCTCCCTGTCATATAGTAGTTCCCCTGTCTTAAATGGTATTAACTTCCTTCCAACCAATTGTCCCACGATTAGGGTTACCAGATGGCCGGGAAATGCGGAATTACCCCGGAATTTTGCGTCTTGCCCCGTGTCCAGTAATTAGACCTTATTGTCCCCGAATCCAAAAACACCATTCTTTTTTCAAAATATTACTATACCCATACATTTTTTTTTGTGTCTAGGAAATGCTTTACGCATCCTTCAACCACCGGGGGAGCGAGAAGAAGGTATGTGGGACTCCTCCCTGTTCATTTCAGCCAGCTCTGTGGTCGGGTGAAATAAACAGGGCTCTACCTAAAACGCCCTGAACAGGGCGACTAAAAACCAGACAATACTATGAGGATCGTCACCCGACACGCACTATGAGGACCTCGGTCCCCCTAGTGAATGCCGAGAGGGCGGATGTGGTCGCGGCTCCCGTTTCCGAATGGCCGCGCAACTATACCCATATTTACATACCTGCGAGGGGCGACAGAAGCATGCCATATAAAGGCATTCGTTACTGACTTATATTTTGATGTGATGATTTATTTCTGGAGTGGCGCGATGTCATATTGTTTCTATTTTACGCCTTTCATTGTAAAATAGCAGTGATTAACAGCGGTGCTGTTTTGCACGAAGTAATAAAGTACTCACAGAAATTCCACCGAAACACAAAAAAAAGAACAATTGCGAGCTGGACTCGCCCACCGAGTGTTCCGTATAAATTTGTAGGAAGGCAACATAAACTTGAATATAAAATAAGTAAAAAAAAATGCGTGAGTGTCGACGAGGAACACTGGGTTGGAACAAAGTTAAAAAAATATACCACCCACCAATACACACTGGACCCGGCCCGGCCCGCGCACCAAAACATGGTCCAATCTCGCTATTCGATCCATAAAAATCCTACACATCAGTCCTCTTTATTCACTTCATTATTCGTTTCATTTCATTCCTCATTTATTAGCTTTAAGAGAAAGAGAGAGATCCAAAATCCACACACACATACACAGAAAAACCAGAACCAACACATTTCTGTTGTTTCTGTGTTTTGTTCTTGTTGATCATTACACAAACACATGCTCACACCAGGATTTACCTGGTCGATATCGGTCCGAAGATTTAAATAGAAGATAGAACAGCCCTAATTTTAGAGGTGTTTTGTTTCTTTCGATGAGTACGGAAGTTCTCTAGTCATTTGCGGAGTAGAGATTTGAGTCAGGCCGGCAAGCGGCAAAATGAGGATGGCTGGAGCGGCACACTTCTTGCCACGAAGCAGAATAAATAAATAAATAAATATTGCTAACACTCACACCAATTAGCCTAGCCCCAAAGTAAGCACTATTAAGGCTTGTGTTATGGGATACTAGGGTAACGGATAGAATACATATACTCTGTACATATATAAGTATATTTATATAGAATTACATATTAAACATCCATGACTGGAGTACAAATGCTCGTATTCATCACACAAACATCTGCCCCCACCGGGATTCGAACCCGGGACCTCTCGAGTCGGCGACACCATGAAACCCGGCGTACAAACCACTCGGCCACGGAGATCGTCAAGAATAACACTGACACTTAACAAAAGTATTAGAAACGGCCAAGTCTCGTGCATCGTGGGTTCCGTACGCACTTGTAGATGTGTGTAATATATAGTTCGGTACGCGGGTTGCAAGTTTCGATTAATTTAATAATTATATTTGTTTAGAACTTTACTTGTTCTTCTTTATAAGGATTCATGATCCTAGATCTAGATCAACGGGAAGTTCCTTATAGCATTTCATTTCATTGCCTGCCCGCGTCAAAATATTCAACAGTAGCAATGTCAAAGGGCGTAAAGTACATATTCGCATTCTACAGGAAAGCGGAAGTATCAAGCATATAATTTGACCTAAATGTCATGGTTTAAAAGATAGATGTCCTTCAGTAATTGTAAGTTCGTGATCTTATCCCTTAGATTCGAATTAAACAAAGTTCCTGCTGTAAGTAAATCTTAATATATAGGTATACTAGCTGACTCGGCGAACTTCGTACAGCCCAAAAGTAATAATTTTCAACAAATTAAAATTGCGACTATAATTTGAGATTTAAACTATCCTATCTCTCAAGTTGGATCGAACTGCACATGGTGTGCGAATTTTATTATAATCGGTTCAGTGGTTTAGGAGTCCATTGAGGACAAACATTGTAACACGAGATTTATATATATTAAGATAAATTACGCGTCACTTGATGTCCGGGATGGACTCCTAAACTACTTAACCGATTTTAATCAAATTTGCTCACCATCTGTAGTTTGATCCAACTTGAAAGTTAGGATAGCTTACATCTCAATTTATAGTCGCGATATTATTTTATTGCAAATTATTACTTTTGGGCGGTACGAAGTTCGCCGGGTCAGCTATTATTATGTAAAATTTAAAGCTGGGCCATTACATAACATGAATAACAAAAGGGAAAACATTTACTAGGTAGGTATTTAAAAAAATAATGATTTTTACTCTGCGGAACATATTTCTGCTTATAATTTTTATTATTTTTTTAAAACATCAAGCAATTATAACTATGATTGGTATTTCTTCTTTCAAATGTTTAATACTTGTAAAAGTATTCATTTGACATTGTGGGTTACCTATAATGCGAAGAGATGGCGCTGCATTGCAGCTTAAGAATGGCTAGAGGAATTTCGACGCGGTCCGTGAGGGCCGCGGTAGCATAATTGGTCAGTGCATTCGCCCGGATTGCGAAGGGTGCGGGTTCGAGTCCCGTCTGCTGCCTGGTCCGCGTGGAATTTTTTCTAGTTATATTTTCTTTATATTTCTGCTTACTGGATTTCTTTGCACCTGGACTCCTGCAAAAATAACAAAGCCTAAAAACATATCAAACTTCAAGTTTAAATCTTTTGTTTTCGACCAAAACCATTCTATCGCTATCTTGAGCATTATTTTAATGACATTTATAATAATAAAATAACACTTTGCCGTCACGTAAAATGTTACCGCAACAAATTAAGAGCTATTATATATTGTCACCAGTATTAGACAGATCAGTCGGAGTTACTATAAATGCATCAGTTGACATCGTTAGGATCATTCGTGTTACGGATAGTGTATGATATAATTAATTACGTTTTGTATGTTCAATCAATATGGAGATGTGGTGGTTTTTGTTATTGGTCGCGTCCGTTGTTAGTGTTAATGGTTCTATGGGTGAGTCTGGGTTGTAATAATTTTTATTAATGTTTTTCATTTCTCAGCTCTAATAATTTGTCAACCTATTGCTATATTTTTGGCTATTTCATAAATTTAAAAAGATATTTTTCATATTTAAAACTAGCGATCCACACGACATAGCTTAAGAGAAATTAATTGTAACGCAATTAAATATGATCTATTCCAACCAATAATAATAATGTAACTTTGCAATGCTCAAATAATTTTTTAAATCGTCCCAGTAGTTTTTGAGTTTATTCGTTACAAACACATAACTTTCCTCCTTTAAATAATCTCTTATCTATTAGACAAGTCCGTCCGTCCGTCAGTCTGTGGTGTTGTTTCAGCGGCCAAACCGTAAGAGATAGATAAAGAGAATGTTTAAGTTATAAGTTAAGAATAGTCTGATAAGACTACAAACCGGATTTGAGTAACGCAGCACTTCCGGTTTTCGAGAAATCACGAATTTCAAACGAAACCACACAAAATCTCCGAAGTTCTCAATTAATTAAATACATTTTTTTTTTAATCAGGTTTTGGTGAACATTTGGTTCACTGGTTTGCTAGTAGCATTTATAATATAGTAAAGAGTATGGAAGTAAAGACTAAATTTTTCTTATAAAATAAATCTAACAAATTTTACTGAACTGATTTTAGTCAGGTAAACATTCAAATTGGTAAGATTACTTCTAATTCTTATTGGTATAAGTGAATAACACCGGAAATCTATGCCTCCGCTGTGCTGTCCGCACTGACGCAGGTGTACTACAAAACATATCCAAGGGTTGTACACAGTACCCCCTTAACTGAAATATAATCAGTGGTAATAACCGGTATACTCACACAACAGCTCTTTGGGTTGTGGTAATAAGTTTGATGCACAGTTAGAATTTTCAGTGTGTTGCCTCTGTTGACGCAATAAAATTAGTGAAAAATTAAGACAGGAGCCTTATTATATATTAAGCCTTATAGGACATGTGTTTCATGGTGTTTTTTTTCCTTGACCATTTATATGTATGACCATGAAGGTATCGAGTTGAAATATTTAGTCATAGACATGAGTAGTCTACGATCCCTTGAAGCTGTGACAAAATCAAACTTCTAAGTTAACGTGTCTACAAAGTGCGGAACCCTCTGTATACGAGTCCTATTCGCACTTGTCCTTTAAATGTTTTAATTCCTTACAATGATACGAAATCAGTCCTATTTTAAATATGTAGTCAATTTTAATTATAATCAATCTAATCTTTTATAATTTTTAAAGAAAGTTAGTTGTATTGAAATAGGAATAAAATTGATAATGAGTACCTACCTAAACATGTAAAGTAAATCGAAGCATGTGTTGTGTGACATTGCCCTAATAAAGTGATTCAATGATTTCCTATTCAGCGATTAAAGACACGTAAGTTATCTGAACGTGGAGCACACAAATAAATGAACGTGAACTGTCGATTACGCGGCAAATTGTACGGGGTCATGAGTTTTCAAACAATACCGCGATACTTCTTGTAAACATGCATTTTTTTCTATGTACATAAATAAAAATTGTTATTATTTTATAGAAAACCATAATATACCTACCAAAAAAATGTAGACGAAAAAACCTTTTAAGAGTTAATGATATTAAATGCGACTATTCTTTATTAACAAATTGATTTAATGATAAATGAATTAATGATAATTTTATAACCAACTCAGCTTGCATGTTTTCGTGAATATTATATGCATTAATTATAAACTTCTCAAAAACTCAAACTATCTCGTTGCTATATCTTTATATATATAATTCTTCTGTGAGTGTGTATGTCACTGAACTTCTCTTAAACGACTGGACCGATTTTGATGAAATTTTTTGTGTGTGTTCAAGGGGATCTGGGAATGGTTTAGATTCACAATTTGTCCGCTGGACAACCCCCATTTTTTTAGGGCGGTAAGAAGTTCGCTGGGCAGCTAGTATATATATAAAACTTAAAGGTGACTGACTGACATAGTGATCTATCAACGCACAGCCCAAACCATTGGATAGATCGGGCTGGAATTTGGCATGCAGGTAGATGTTATGACGTAGGCATACGCTAAGAAAGGATTTGGATCAATTCTACCCCCAAGGGGATAAAATAGGTAATGAAAGTTGGTCAATTTTAAATCGATCGGGCTGGGGCTTTGCATGCAGGTATAAGAAGAATCATAGATGAATGTCATTGTGTATAATACAAGCCTGAGAACAAAAACTTTAGTCTACACTTCAGCTCTACACCGAAGCGAAGCGAGGGTGGGCATCTCGTAAGATATATTGTGAATGCTTCAATGCCATTTATAATGTTGTCTGTGTTGAGGCACATGCCTCCTCTAATGGCAGAATCACAAGGAAGAACGAGTCACTTATCACAGACACAGCGTGGTTACTGCTGAAGCAATTAGGATGCACTTTGTTGGGTTTGTGCACTTCGGTTTAAACTTTTTTGTTTGTTCTATATATGCTTCGGACTCTATGCCTAGATAAACTTCATTCTTACAGACACTGTACATGGACTTCACCAATAGGTCATATTTGGGAAATTACATAATTTGACGAAAAAAAGATTTCACGAATTACCAATTAGTCTAATTACACATATTACTGCGTGCAGGCCGAGCAGGACGTATCCATGCGGTAGGGCTGCCCGCTTACTGTATTTTGAGACAGAAAAATATTTACTAACTAGCTTTTGCCCGCGACTTCGTCTGCGTGTAATTCGAATAAAAGCAAGGTCTTTATGTATCAATAACTGGTGCCCGCGACTTCGTGTGCGCAGTATTAGTATTTCGAGTAGCTTATATTAGCGTGTAATTTTTATTGTATTTATGGTTCACTATTTTGACAATAATGGCTTACTCATTAAAGATAGATATATATGGTGTCGCAGAATTTTTTGTAGGACTATTTAAGATAAATATTTTCACCATACATTATATACATGTAGCACTAACTGTTTTTGCAACACACGCCTGAATAGCTCGCAGATTGCAGAATTTTTTCAGACTTAAATGACATTTATCGTTATATTTTGGACAATTCACACAATATCTTTATAAATTATAGCCTATGTGTTATTCTGATCTATAAGCTACATTACTGTAAAGTTTCATTAAAATCCCTTTAGTAGTTTTTGCGTGAAAGAGGAACAAACATCCATCCATACATCCATCCAAACAAACTTTCGCCTTTATAATATTAGTAAGGATTATTTACTGAGACGCACGAAAAGCTTCATTATTAAATTTAATAGTATAATTAATACGCATTCGTATAAAAAGTTTAATTATTGAAGAGTTCAAGCAACCAAAACCAGCACAATATCGACTATTGCTCTTTGCCATAATAAATTATGTAGGTATCTACTTAATTCAATCAAATATTCACAATACAAACGTTTAAGCACGGCTGACCGCTTAAAAACAATTCACACCGTTCGGTCACGGTAATAATAAGATAATATTACCGTGGTTCGGTCGTCGCTGCGGGGCGGGGCGCATTCGCGACAGGATGCCCACCGGGCACTGCGCGAACTTGAGTGGCGTAGGCATGACACGCTTTCCGACCGTTTGTATGAAGATAGAACACTATATAGATAATATTACCGTGTTATGGGGTCTACCTCGTATCGCAGAATTTTTAATGTCATATGTATAATTCTGAGGAGCTCGATGGCGCGGGTGGTTAGCGCGTTCGGCTGCGATCGTTGAAGTTAAGCAACTTTCGCAGTGGCCGGTCATTGGATGGGTGACCTAAAATTTACTATCTCGAGCTCCTCCGTGCTTCGGAAGGCTCGTTAAGCCATCGGTCCCGGTTGCATCTGCAGTCGTTAGCACCCACCGATCCGCACTGGGCCAGCGTGGTGGGTCATGGCCAAATCTCCCTATTCCATCCATAGGGAAGACCTGCGCCCCAGCAGTTGGGACATTAATAGGCTGATGATGATGTATAATCGTAGCTCCCTTCATCGAGGCGTGCCGCGAGGGTGACCGGGAGTGCCTGTTGGCGTCGGCGCGTCGCGCGCTGCCGGTGGTGGCGGCGGGCGTGCCGGCGCTGGCCATCGGCGCGCTCGACCCGCTCCACATCGCGCGCGTCCGCACCGACAACGCCGGACTCGTCATGGAGTTCACCAACACCGTCATCAAAGGGCTCGGGAACAGCGAAGTGCTCAAGTTGGAGTGAGTGATGGTTTTTATTGCATCACCAGGTCGAGGGTCCAGGCGACGCTTTTGAAATGAACCAAAAGCGAAACTCTCTCCCCTTATCACGAAACGTGGAATAAAGCTAGTCTTGGCTTAACTTAATGCTCGCAACCTCAGAGTAATTGTGACACAAGTAAAAAATATCCGTCGCTGTTTCTCCACAGGGTTGTATACAATGACGCACACCACAGGTTGTATCACGAAGAGTATGCTTCTCAGATATATTTTTAATAAATCGGAAATCGAATTATGTCACTTTCATTGTAAGGGTATGTGCTGTCTGTGATTTATCTTTAGCAAATAAATGAGACAGCATTATTTTTAGACCGGGTTTAAATGTAGTCGATATTTTGTAATAAGAGATATTTAAGTTACAAGTAAGAATTTTAAATTCGAATTTTTAAAACAATGTTCGCATGATATCGGATCTTAGGGAAAAAAGACAAAAAATCTCCTATATCTACTTATTTTCATTACTAAATTGCACGTGTGCGAAGCTGATCATCGACTTACCAGTCTCGATGTTGCCTTCAGTTTTGTAGTCGTGCGTGACATGATGCAGGTACCTTGGATATTAAGAGATATTGCACATCACTTAAGGGTTATTGAACTTTTATTTAAATATCGATATTCTAACCATTAGGTACATAATAGTTTACCGAAAACGTTTTAGATTACTATTTAATTGTTTGGTGATTGCTGTCGTTACTTATCTTGTCGTCGATTAAGTGAAACCGCTGATTTCAATAATTCTTTAGGTAATTCAATAACAGACAACGCTATTAATATGATAAAATATTGGATGCGGGCTGTAGTCAGAGTTGTATTTAAGATCATACGACGATTTTTAAGATAACAGGGTATAGGTATGTTCATGGCAAATTATTTTTTTCCCGAACAGAATGTAAACAGCCTAAACTGTGCTATAAGCGAACATGCTTGAGTCTGTCACTGCACTGACAAACCTTTTTCCTCAACATATCATTTAAGATTTTATTATATCTGAAGGAATGAAGAGTTCTTGGTAGAAAGCGGTCAGCGCGTTCGCCTGTCTTGCGAAGGACGCTGGTTCAATTCCAGCAGTTACTCCAGCCGGTTCGATTACAGCAGTAACTCCAGCCGGTTCGATTCCAGCAGTAACTCCAGCCGGTTCGATTCCAGCAGTAACTCCAGCTGGTTCGATTCCAGCAGTAACTCCAGCTGGTTCGATTCCAGCAGTAACTCCAGCTGGTTCGATTCCAGCAGTAACTCCAGCTGGTTCGATTCCAGCAGTAACTCCAGCTGGTTCGATTCCTACAGTAACTCCAGCTGGTTCGATTCCAGCAGTAACTCCAGCTGGTTCGATTCCAGCAGTAACTCCAGCTGGTTCGATTCCAGCATTAACTCCAGCTGGTTCGATTCCAGCAGTAACTCCAGCCGGTTTGATTCCAGCGGCCCTGGAACAACAAAGGAGCGGAGATCCCTAAATCTGGTTCTGACTTCACAGGCAACCAAATTTTTTTTCTAGAAATTAAAAATAGTAAGCCTTTTACACCTTAACATGAAACTGTATGTAAAAAAGAAAATATAACTAGAAAAAAATCCACGCGGACCAGGCAGCAGACAGGACTTGAACCCGCATCCTTCGCAATCCGGGCGAATGGACTAAACCAATTATGCTACCGCGGCCCTCACGGACCGCGTCGAAATTCCTCTAGCCATTCTTAAGCTGCAACGCAGCGCCATCTCTTCGCATTATATTATATAGGTAAGCCACAATATCAAATGAATACGTGAGGGCCTCGGTAGTATAATTGGTTCAGTGCATTCGCCCGGATTGCGAAGGATGCGGGTTCAAGTCCCGTCTGCTGCCTGGTCCGCGTGGATTTTTTTATAGTTATATTTTCTTTAGATTTAAACATCAAGCAGTTACATGCTTTAAATATATATATAACTATAAAATATGTAATAGCTAAGTGATGCGTAATGTGATTGTTTTCAGACGGTCCGACACTAACATGGAGCTGACGCTGAAGAGCTCGCTGATGATGGCGGGCGACTACAAGATGTCCGGCAAGCTGCTCGTCATGCCCATACAGGGCGAAGGCAAATACAAGATCCGGATCAGTCAGTATCTGCTCGTATAGTCATAGATCAGTCTATCATAATTGTGCGCATACTCATAGATCGCAAAAGGGTACACCAGTAGAATAAACTAACTATAGTAGGCTCTGCAAAATACTTCACGCAGGTAAACAAATACAGACTATCTCCGTGGCCGAGAGGTTTATACGCCGGGTTTCATGGTGTCGCCGACTCATGAGGTCCCGGGTTCGAATCCCGGTGGGAGCAGATGTTTGTGTGATGTATACGAGCATTTGTATTCCTGTCATGGATATTTAATATGTATTTCTATATAAATATACTTATATATGTACAATATATGACTTATTCTATCCGTTACCCTAGTATCCCATTACACAAGTCTTACAGTACTTACTTTGGGGCTTGGGGAAATATTTATTTATTTACAGAGTAATAGTTCCATTCATAGCAACTTGCGAAATAAACTGATACTAATGTGCGAGGATCACGGGCTTACTCGAAAGCATATCTAAGATTTTATCAGCGTAGTTACGTGTTACCGTGTGTTCATGTCATTCGCTTTTAAGAAGCTGTTTTTTTTTGTGATAACCATTTGCGAAGATAACTGACGACCACTCCAGCCCCAATGACTACAGTTGAACCCAAATTATTTCCTTATCGACCTCATGACTGGCGACATTAATTCTGTTGGAACACAACAGTAAATAACAGTTACAACCTAATGGTTAATTCTTGGTTAATCATAACCCTTTGCTAGCCAAAATCCCGCTCCTCCCGCTCGTCCCATTGAGCCCTGGAACCGTAACCAGAACCTATGTGATAGTATCGACAGTTCGGTGCCAATAATTGAGCAGTATATAATTTATTAGTGTCGGATTAAAGCGTAGGAAAGATAATCTCCAGGGGTATGGAAATGTTAACGGGCAGCAATAATTAATTTTGGAATAAATTCCATTATTAGTTGAGGAGGGTGCTACAAGCGGGTTGCTGAAAGGTCCAGACGCGACTTTTGACAGCTCCGTAATCGTATCACATTGTCAAAGTTTAAATGAAAACTAAGCAACGCCCCTATCGGACGCAAGAACTAACTAGCTTTTTACGTCGACGATGCGATTATGGAGCTGTAAAAATTCATGCTTGGGCCTAAGTTCTACGTTTGTGCCATTCTCCGCTGTCACCGTGTGTGTTGTTCCATGTCGTTGCGACTGGCGGCCCGCAGAGGACATGGTGACGCGCGTGTCCCTGGACTGGGAGGCGGTGGGCGGGTTCTGGCGCGTGCGCGGGTGGCACCACGACGCGCGCGTACTCACCGGCGCGCACTTCAGCTTCCAGAACCTCTTCAACGGGAACAAGAAACTATGTAACTATACCAACACATCCTCTACTGCAGTGTTTCCTAACCTTTCCAATACTGCTACCCCTGTAACCTATTAGGAAAACAGATTTAACCCCGACTTTAAAATGTTATCATCAGTCCAAGAAAATTCAATTTGGCCGCTACATCTTCGTCTCTAATAATGTCATCATCAGGAGAAAATCTCGCCTCGCTTCCCACACTCAGCACCCCGAGGGCTCGCTAGCAAGAAGGAGCGCATGCTCTTTTTAGTAGTATTATTATATAGCATTTTCTTATTATTTAGATTTGACCAAATAATTAGGTTCCTTGTTACCCCCGAAGTATGGCTGATTTACCCCCGTAGGGGTAATTACTCCCAGGTTCGGAACCCAGGCTCTACTGACACTTGCTTTCCTAAACACGCTCTCAACCACTACACTAATAAGTTCTAAACTCCTCATCCTCGTAATGTCTCCACTGCTGGGGCACGCGCCTTCCCTGTGAATAGAATAGAGTGATGATCTACCACGTGGGCTCAGCGCAGATCGGTCGGTGCTAACGACTGCAGATGTAGCCGGGACCAACAGCTTATCGTACCTTCTGGAGGAGCTCAAGATAAGAATTTTTTGATGGCCAATCCGATGAACGACCTGTTGCGGAAGTTGTATAACTTCCACTAAGACAGAGCGGATGCGCTAACAGCTTGCGCCATCGCTTTTGGGTTGTGACTCAAAGTCGGTGGCGTAAGGCCTAATCTCTATATTGCATTCATAGGGAAGGCGTGTGCCCCAGTAGTAGGACATTAATAGGCTTATGATGATGATTTGTTATTTAGTTTTCAGTGATCCACAGTTGTTCAGGGTCGATAATGTAAGTGTGTACGTATTTCCAGCGGACGCGTTGCACCAGTTCGCGAACAGCAACTGGCGGGAGATCTTCCAGGAGGTGGCGCCGCCCATGGTGGAGAAGACCGTGGCCATGATCGTACAAGAGGTCACCAAGCTCTTCGACAAGGTCCCCATCAGCGAACTCGTGAAAAGTTAGATAGACGACGCCTGAGAAATAAAATCTTATTCGGAAGTCAATTTTGAGATTACAGCCGCTGATTGTGGCTTTTGATACAGTATTTTGTTTAATTTTTAGGGTTCCGTAGTCCTGACAAGGAAGCCTTATAGTTTCGTCATGTCCGTCTGTCCGTCCCCGGTTTTGCTTGAAGACTGTTAGCACTAGAGAGAAAGCTGTAATGTGGAGATATTGTGGAGATATATATATCAATCACGCCGACAAAATGGTAGAATAAAAGAACTTTGATAAAGATATTTTAGTTGAGATACATAGGCCAATATTAATTGATTTTTTAATATCCGATACAGCAAATACAGACTCCTAATAAAAAATATATTGTGGTAACGACAGGCAACTACGGAACCATACACTGCGCGTGGCACCACACACACTTGGCCGTTTTTTTATACGATATGTTTGTTATAGTGTGCGTTTGACTCAACGTAATGTAAATTGTGTGACTATATAATAGAAAGGTTGCGATTTATTGGTTTTTTATTTATTCGCCATGATGCATTCATACACTTTCCCGACTTATTAAAAACTCTTTAGAAAGACAAAAAGAAAATATGTTTACTCAGAAAAAATAAACAAATGCAATTTTGGGATAAATTATAGGTAACCCTGAGGAAGACCAATCATATGATTAAGGTTGGATTAAGGTGAAAATATTGAGGGCTATCGCGTGTGAATCCGCCGCTAGAGGCGCTAGTGTAGCGTGAGGTCTCCGAAATGTCAAATGTTATTGCTTGTTGATTGACTACGCGGGTTTATTTCTAATTAAAATAGTGTTGTGAATAATTGGTAACAATTCGGCTTAATTATGGCAAATATGAGTTATGTGGCAATGAATTTCAGTTATTAAAAATTTGAGCTTAGAAAAATGATTATGTTCCCATTTTTTCCGAATAAAACGGAACTGCGCGTCACTGTTGCATGGCCTATTATGTTTAGGATATGGTTCTTTTGTGTTAAAAGACGATCTAAATGTAACCTTTGATTTCATGTGCGTATTAATAAACATTAAAAGTTACAATTTAGGACCTCACTCAACAGTGGCGCCATCTGGTGAGGCAGAAAACGGTAGCCCTCATGAATGACGCGCGTTACGCGACTTAGTGCGCTGCAGTGGGCGATCCGCCTTAGTCCACATAGAATGTATGTCATAGATAATCATGCTTCAAAATTTAATATCATTATTTTATATTTAATGTAATTTAATGAATCTTCTGAAATACTTTTGGCACTCTAAGGCTGCCTGTCCACTAAAGCGGAGAGAGGCTGCGAAGCGGAGGAACGGAGAAATATTAACCAATAGGATTGCACTTATTCTATTCACTGAAGAGAAGCGGAGATTTTGGGCAATCTTATTGGTTAATATTTCTCGGTTTCACCGCACCGCAGTCACACTCGGCTCCCGTGGACAGGCAGCATAATCCAAGGAGATGGGAAGATTAATATATATATATATATTTAGGAACTCTTAAGGATATTTTTAATACGATAAAAGGTTTTAAAGGATTTAAAGGATATTTTTAATAATTTTTGACGACCTCCGTGGCCGAGTGGTTTGTACGCCGGGTTTCATGGCTGTCGCCGACTCGAGAGGTCCCGGTTTCGAATCCCCATAACACAAGCCTTATAGTGCTTACTTTGGGGCTAGGCTAATTGGTGTGAGTGTAAAAAAAAACCGGTGAAACCGCGGGCACAAAATTCTGGAGTCTTGGATTGAAAGTTATTTTAGCTTTTGCCCGCAGCTAGTATGCATGGGTCATAACATAAAACCTATAAATCTGAGATTAAGTGTCAAAGTCTCAGGATTTAGGCTGCGCGCATATAGCTAATTCGGAATCCTAATACAATATTTTATTTGAAATTTAAATACCCTTAATACTGTCTTCGGTAACTTTATATTTAATTTTATTATGACATGTTACTTTATAAATAATCATACCTACCTAAACGATTTCATTGACGCGTGATACGAAATCAAAATGTTTCTTTTCCTATTTAGGAAATTGTATGTACGTTTAAGTGAACGACCCCACCGAGAGACCTTGAGGGACCTTAATATCGAAGTACTCAAAAAACTTCTTTGTGACAACTTTCTTTGTTTATCGATTCGCACATAAAGCTGTCGTTCGGGAAGCGGTCATTATGACAATAAGTTGAAGTTTTAAGCGTCATCGCAGTCGTCCTAAAGTTCATAGTACTGGTGACGTCAATCTCGTGTAATTAAGGATATAAATACAATGCCGGAGGGCAGTCGCGGCAGTTCTGAACACGCCTGAAAGTGGCGTGTCGTGCAGCAGGCGAGTGTCCTGGATTGTAGACCCACACCCACAGTGTGCACAATGTTGAGGGTTTTGTGTTTTGTGTGTGTGATGTTTGGCGTAAACTGTGTTTCGGGTAAACAAGCGTTATCTTATATATAAAATTCTCGTGTCACAATGTTAGTTACCATACTCCTCCGAAACGGCCTGACCGATTTTTATAAAATGTTATATGCATATTCCATGAGTCTGAGAACCGGCTACTGGTGTCGATTCTGGCACGATTCTCTAAATCTAAACTTAAATTTGACAACAGTGTATCCTTGTCATTCTCTTTACAGAATGAAAAGGAGAGACTGATGTTAAATTTAGTTTTAAGTTTAGAGAATCACGTCAGAATCGGCACCATTATCTATTTTTCATATCCTTAAGTGATAATGGTTGTCCACCTGTAACGTAGTGTTCTGAAACCTACAATGCACTTTCGCTCCAAAATTCAAACTATCGCGTATTAACGTAGTGTTCTCATATAGGTTAGGAGGAATGTTATCCCAGAAAATTGATAGAACACTGCGTTACATATCCCTAAAATTTTTTTGACAATATTTATTTTTTTATAATGTGGTATTAAAAAATACATACTGCCCTAAATTTTCTTTTCTACCACCTGCCCCTATTTTTATGGTGGCGGTACGAAGTTCGCTGGGTCAGCTAGTTTACTTGTAATATTGTAGGTGTTGTTGGTGTAGGGTCGCAATGTGTTATATTAGGATGTCGGATCAGATGGTAGACGCATGATGGAGGAAGCTCCCCTTGGTCGTGGATAGGGTGGCGAGGAATGAGAGACATGTTTTATGGACACATATTTATTGAAAGGAGTCGTATTAGTAAGTCAGTTTTGCCTCTTCAATTACGCCGTGACGTGGCGTCACTAAGCGCGTTCTATCGTCTGTACCACGGCGAGTGTTCTGAGGAGTTATTCTCTCTTATTCCACCTTCCCCTTTCCTTCAGAGGACCACGCGCGCTGGCTTACGTTGTCACCGTCTAACTGTGGCTACAATTCCAACGCGTACAAAGAAATTTGGTGACTCATTTCTTTGTCGTACTATCCGTAAATGGAATTCTCTGCCCGTTCACGTGTTCCCTCCCTCTTACAACCTGGGATCCTTTAACAGAGGCGTGAAGAAGCAACTTGCAGGCCTGCAGGGTGGGGATGGCTGGTGTGGCAGTTAGAACTGCTGTATCAGCTATCTTCGCGTCTGGACTTCACCTTCACTTAACATCAGGTGGGATGGAGTAATTTGTTGCATCTATCTATAAAAAAAAAAAAAAGTCCTTAGAACTACGTTAATATTATAAAAGAACATAAGTGTTAAAGTCAGCAGTATGTATGTAGCAGTCAATTAGTATATGTATGTTACGGTGCAGGTCTTAATTCATACACTACATATTTTTTATACAAGACGCAGCGAATTACCTAACTCCACTTTTTGTTAAATTAAGTATAAATGAAATCCAGTCGACAAGGTAGATGATGCCACAGAAATGTGCCTCTTCAGTTTTCCTCACTATGACAGCTTGAGGGCTTAGCTCGAATAGTAGGGGACGTTGAGCCCTGGAAGCGTGTAACCAACAGAAATACAGCACAATCAAAATGATAGTGTTATTTTACTGTGCTCTACTGTGACGCTGAGGTCTAACATCCCCAGACGGGCGCTTCAATTTGTGCATAAAATCCGCTGTGCCCCACCCATCTTAAATGATGTACTAATGTTAATACGCGTGCATTCCATAAACGCTGGGTAGAACATAAAAGGTGCGGCCAGTGGCGCATTTACAAATTTGCCGCTAATAGGCTATTAAATATTTTCCTCCCTAACTGACCTTTGAAATTCAATACGCTAGTTCACAATTATATTTTCATCCCACCACCTCGGAAAGTGTAATTTTGCGCTTCGAAATCTGGCTGGAAAATTCTATTTTATTCGCTTGAGCGGCAAAGTAGATTTGAATTTAGAACATCACATATAATGAGTACTCAATATAATTGTAAATTCAAAACGTCATTAAACCTATTTAATGTAACCTCTATGGTGCCAAATTTATGATTAGAACTTTTTAAATTGTGAAAAAATTTAAATTTGGAACCTTCTTGGTTTCTTTGTTTTATTTGCGTGCTTCGCGCCATTCTAGTTTTTCACGTTTTATTGCTTAAATATTTTGTCATTATAAATTGTTTTCTTTTTCATTTTGTCATTTCCTCGCTGAGGTGGGATGAAAAGTTACGTATTGCACTCGAGTGGAAAGATTTTTCACCTTGTGCTCGTTTGTTTCCCTCGCTGACGCTCAGGATTCTAATTTAGAATCACTCGCTGCGCTCGTGATTCAACTTTAGAATCCTTCGCTTGCTCGGTCATCCAAATCGAGCACGCGGTTAAAAAGGAACTTTCCACTCTTGTATAATAAATAACTATTATTCTGAAATTGCAACTTTATGATTTGTGTTCTATCGTCCACATTACGTCGGTTTTTCCCCGTTAGTTTAAAAAATTACTAAATTTAAATTGTAATTAATGTTGAAACGCTAATGGAATATTTTAAAAAATCATGATCGCATAAGTACATACCTATATTTTACAGTGCTTTTTTTTAGTAATCTTTTATATATGGATTACGGACGTAAGAGTGTTGAGTATACTGTGCATTACTAAAATATAAAAAAAAAATCACTCGTTTTTCTGTGTAGATTTTGGGCCAAATTTGCCGCCCTAGGCTCCAGCCTACTGAGACTACTGGTAAATCCGCCACTGGGTGCGGCACCTTCTTTATTATCTTGAAATGGATTTTTTTATTTTATTTAAAGTCGGTTAATTAACTCTCGATCTGCAGTAGCTGGTGATAAATACCTAACTTTCCCGAATATAAAGTAAAAGTATGTTAAAGTATCAATGAAATGTACAGTTACCTAGCCCATTTATGTAAAAACTATCAAATAGACTGGTTACCTATACCCTTTGTTTATTTACTCCTAGATAGACAGTGACAGCGCAGATGACGTTAAAAAAATATGAGCCAACGGTTTGACTCTAAAGGCCCGTACCCGTATTACAGAATGACAACTAAGTGTTGATCTTTACTTGAGTAGGTACAGTTAGAAAGGGATGTCGCTATGTGCTATATATAGCTTATATGGGATGTCGCTATATATAGCACATAGCGACATCCCTTTCTAACTGCGCTCAAGACTAGATCAATCACTGAGAATCTTTCTATAATACGAGCCTAAGTCCGTTCCCGTCAAATAGTTTTCAATGCAACGCTGAGCGATACGCACGAAAATTACAGTTTCGTGTTGAAATTATTGCTTTGAAATGCCGAGATACCTACGCGATAAAAGTTTGCCGAAATTGTAAAGGACGCATAAAAACAACCAACAAAGACGGTTACCACCGCTAGGTAACACATTATTCACATTAAAAAATAAAACTATATCATCATAATAGTTAAAATCTGTACCACTCCATCTCGACATTTTTAAAGTGATACTCGCTCGCGATAGCGAGCTATCATCAGCTAATAATAAGCAATTTCCTTACCAGCGCCGTTTATCAAACCGTGTGCAAAATCGGACTCTGCGTGCATCCAGGCGTCAGCGCGAGCGGCAATACCGTACTTCATTACTGGGGTTCCCGAGCTGGGCATCTCGTCGCTGGACCCGCTCAAGCTGGCCGTCATCAAGGGCGACCAGGAGGGGCTCCGGCTCACGTTTACGAACACTGTCGTCACGGGACTGAGGGACGCCGCGATTGAGGACATCAAGTGAGTGAAACTAGTAACAAACAGCATTTGGTTGTTAAAAAAAAGGATTGTAGCAGTTTCTATGTAGCTGACAATACTTGTGTTTTACACCAGGAGTGTGGTTACCAATCAAACAGACAAAAAAACATAGCAACGAATGAGTGAACGTTTCTATAAGTGTCCATGTGCGGCACTGCAGTAACCGCTTACTATTAGGTGGACTTGCGTGACGTGGTTGAATTGCTTATTGCAGTGGACATTTATAGAAAATACACCTAATATACGCACATATTGCGTTGCTCCGATAGCCACATCATCATTACCGTCATATTCATTGTCCCCTTACATAGGACTCTATCTTCCCCATTGGATACAATAAGTTCAAACATCAAGGTATACTCAATAAATAGCTTCTCGGTTCTAAGCTGTCTGCACGTCGTGTCGTTATTTCAACTAATATTTATTTGGGATATACTTAAGTCATCATTGACTTTCAGACAGGATGCTGGCAAGCTGACGGTGACGGCTCGCAGCTCGGTGGCGCTGCGCGGCGACTACACGCTGGGCGGGCGACTGCTGCTCTTCCCCATACGGGGGGAAGGGAAATATAACATCAAGATCCGTGAGTGTCAACTATACTATGTTATCTATCATTACTACTAAGGCAGCTCTTGTGTCGTACCTCTCCAGAGGCGATGGCTCCGACGATGTAGATGTAGGTCACCGTAGTGTATTTTGTGTACCATCACCTTTCCAAAAAACCGGCCAAGTGCGTGTCGTGCCACGCGCAGTATAGGGTTCCGTAGTTGCCTGTAGTTACCACAATATATTTGAGCAGGAGTCTTTATTTTCTATATCAGAAATCTACATAGATTGATATTCATTAGTTTTTCTCATTTCTTTACTAAAATATCTAAATTAAAGTAAACTGCGTCTCAAACTCGAAACCAATTCGATATTATATATTTTTTTAAATACGAATGATATCCTCCGTTTTTTTTGTTCCCTCCCAGGCGGGGGAGCTGGTGTGAAGTCCTAATGGATACCCTACAGCCGGCTTAAGGTTATGTCAGACTCTTACTGACTAAAAGCTTCATCTGAAGCGATCATCCCCTGAGAGGGGATGATGCAGGATATAACAGCCTATCTTTTCAGAAGCTTATATACTTTTTATAAAAACGTAACGTTGCCGTTGTTGGCGCGACTCAGCTGTTGTCGTCGGTACTTGCGGTAGCGTTGTGGAACTAATGATATTTTGTTGTGGGTTTAAATAGTTTTTTTTTATTTTGTTGCAAAGCAAGGTTTTACGCTACAATTACTTGATCTATGTCACTATTAATGTTTTCTTCTAAATAATTTTCAATAGGTAAGAAATTTTCTTTAACCATAGTTGAACAACTATTAGGTACTCTTAATTTAACAAATCTATCTTAACCGTTATAGTTTTTCTTAGCCAGGTTCTAGGTTTTTCAAGCTAATAATTTAGCGTTTAGAGAGAGGGGGGTTCAATATTTCGCAAACGGATCCCTAAATTGAGAAATAGTCTAACAAACTCCTAAGAAATTTTAAAGGACCTATTCAATGATATCCCACACGATGGGGTAGATGATGAAAAAAAGCCCCAGGTTACATCTAGGGGAACTACTCTAAAAAAATATTTTTCCAAATTTTATTATAGCATTTTGTCGGCGTGATCAATGTTAATATCTCCACAAAATTACAGCTCTCTAGTGCTAATAGTCTCCAAGGAAAACCGGGCAGCCGGACATGACAAAACTATAATGGTGCCTTGTCAGGTCTACGGAACCCTAAAAAAGGATTTAATAGAAATGATGTCTTATGTTTTTTCCTCAGAGGACATCGTCATCAAATCCACCGTCGACTTGAAGTCGGTCGAGGGCGCTGACGGCAAGCCTCACTGGAACATCACCAAGTGGCGCCATTCTTACCGGGTGCACACCGGAGCACAATTTGATTTTGACAACCTGTTTAACGGGAACAAGTTTCTTGGTGAGTGTCCATATTGATTTTCATTTTTTTTCCACTGACGACTGTTACTGTATATCAGTGATTCCCAAAGTGGTCTATATCGACCCCTAGGGGTCTATGACAACCTGCAAGGGGTCTACGTCAGCGAAAAAAAATCAATATCAGATAAGTAGGGGGTCTACCCAACACGGAAAAACATGGCAAGGGGTCTACGACACAAAAAAGTTTGGGGAACTCTGCTGTTTATCAATAATATTATCAACGGTTAAAATTAATTTATCACGCTGCTGATTTTGAATCAATGAGTAAGGCATTATTAAATATTGATTGGGTGAAAGAATTCAGCGTTTTAAATACAGAACAATGTGTATCTTCCTTTTACAAAGTATTTAATGAGTTGATGGATAAATACATTCCAAAAAAAGTAATCAACCCGCATTCTAATTATCCACCTTGGTATTCCGGATCGTTAATAAAATTGATTCGACAAAAATTAAAAGCTCATAAAAAATGGAAAAAATATCGGTGTGATCTTGATTATCAAATTTTTTCTACAATCAGGTTCAAAGAAAAACAACTTGAACGAGAATGTTATAAAAACTTTATAGAATTTTCTGAAGATAAGATAGCGACGTCACCACGATACTTCTGGTCTTTTATAAAATCAAAGTTCGGCGACCAGAATGTCCCTACACACATGACCTATAATAATGAGACATCAACGGATATTGAATCTATCACAAATATGTTTAATGAATATTTTAATTCAGTTTTCGTATGCCATGGTAACACTAGCAATCTTGATCACCCAACATGTAGTAACGCATCACCGTTGGTAGACATATCTTTGGTATTTATATCTCAGAAATCAGTTGCTAAATTATTTGAACAAGTGGATATTAATAAAGGCGCTGGTAGTGATAATGTTCATCCAATTTTAATTCGTAGGCTTTGTACTGAATTGTCATTACCACTTACAATCATCTTTAGGAAATCTCTTTCTGAAGGAAGTTTCCCGATGATATGGAAGAAAGCGTTAATAACACCAATTCCGAAGGGTGGTAACAAACACGATGTTAAACAATATAGGCCAATCTCAAAGCTATGTGTTCTAGCAAAAATTTTTGAAAAAATAGTGACTTCATTTTTGTCGAGTCAATTGAAACATACCGTGACCGCTGAACAGCATGGTTTTTTCCAAGGTCGAACGAAGTGTCAATACAAATTTGGTTACTTACACTGATTTCGTACTAAATGTTATGGATACTGGATATCAGGTGAATGCCGTGTATACCGACTTCTCGAAGGCGTTCGACAAAATTAATCATTCTTTATTAATAAAAAAACTTTTCGGGGTCGGTATATATGGCGATCTGCTAAGATGGATTGAGTCATATGTCAGAAATCGTAGTCAAGCTGTTGCACTCAAGGGTTACCGATTGAGATTCTTAAATATTCCCTCAGGAATTCCGCAAGGGTCCCACCTGGGATCATTTTTATTTTGTCTTTATGTCAACGATATCAGCCGTTGCTTTACTAGCTCTCACTTTCTCATGTACGCTGACGATACAAAAAATTATAAAATAGTGCGAAATTCTGATGATTGTGAAAGTTTACAGAAAGATTTGAACAATTTTGAACGTTTTTGTAAAAATAATTACTTGCTCTTGAACTTAGATAAGTGTCATGTAATAACCTTTACTCGTAAAAATAATGCTAACCAGTATAATTACAGAATCTCTGATCAAAGTATAATCCGCACGAATTCTATTCGCGATTTAGGAGTAACTCTGGATTCCAAGTTGCACTTTAATTTGCATATTGACAGTATGGTAGCCAAGGCGTTTAAGCAGTTGGGGCTAATCCTACGACGAGGAAAGCCTTTCGCCGGGGGCAGTACTCTTAAGATCCTTTATAACGCATACGTTCGGAGTATATTGGAGTTTGGTAGCGTGGTCTGGAGTCCTCAGTATGCTGTGCACAAGGATAGAATAGAGCGTGTACAACGCAAATTCATAAAATCATTAGATTATCGTGTCGGATTTTATTATAATGATTATGAAGAGAGTGCAAAAAGACATGAAGTGCAGTCATTGGTCTGTAGACGCCAGTATTTGGATGCCATGTTTCTGTACAAAATAATAAACAATCACATAGTCTCAGCTCAACTTGTGCAGAGTATTGTACTCAAAGTTCCTCGCTTCTCCTCACGTTCAAAAGATACCTTTTATGTTTCGAGTTGCCATACCAACTATGCTAGAGAAACCTTTTTTAGACGGACATGTAATTTTTACAATAAGAACTTGAATGAAGCAGATATTTTCAGTGAATCACTTTACAGCTTCAAAAGGAAAATAAGTTAATTAGTGTTTAAATAGTTAACATGTGCGGCGGCGATGTATATCATATGTTTATAGTTATCCGTCACTTTTATGCCGCTTGAATATAATAATTGTATATCAATTGTTGTGTTCACTACCAGCCCAAGCCGAGGGGACCGCGCAGTGGAAGTAAAGATTGTATTGTCCCAACAAATACTTCAGCTGGGCTTGGAACACAATAGCTCCTGCGATGTCGCAGGGTTTACTTAACTAACTAAATGACTTACCAAGTTGTATGTAAGTAAAGTCGTCTGTCGCTTTGGTATCTGCCTAAGAAATGGATAGGAAGGGATAGGAAGGCAGATCAATTCCTCTGGACTCTTCTCATCCAACAACCGCGCTTATAGCGATCCAAAGTAGGTTAGCACTCACACAATCAATTTCACAAATCATGTACATTACACAAACAACACTAGGATTCTTATAATTTAAGTTATTACTACAATATTACAATGAGATATCCGGTACAAACAAATCAAAGCCACTTATAATCGGCGATGCAATTCGAACATGAACCTCACGAGTTCTCAAGACGCCATTACAGTGACAAAAAAAACGTTTTTACCCGCGCACGAAAAATAATTCAAAATATGCGGACACCGCACGGCAGTGAAGTTAGGGATGTGCCGTTTTATTCGTAACATCCCCCCGCCCCGGACCGTTAAGGACGGTACGTCAATCCACGGGTAATCGGGAGAGCCCACTAACTGCTCTCTTCAAAACCGAATCTCTAACCAAAACCTCAGCAACACGAGGAACTCCGTCAGTTCCTGGGTAGAGTTTAACAATGCGCCCCCTTCGCCAACACAAGGGCGGCAGGTTGGCATCCTTAATCAATACAAGGTCGCCAATCTGGGGTGGGGTTGTTTTATCTGTCCACTTCACGCGCTGTTGTAGGATATGCAAATACTCCATCGACCAACGTGCCCAGAAGTTTTGAGACATCTGTTTCAACAGTTGGTACCGCGACAAACGATGGGATCCTACATCCTGAATCGGATATTCAGGCAAAGCCAAAAGGGGCTGTCCGATCAAAAAATGGCCTGGGGTCAACGCTTCCAGGTCATTTGGGTCCGAAGACAACGGGCACAAGGGTCGCGAGTTGAGGACGGCTTCAATTTTACAACACACCGTATCAAGTTCCTCAAACGTTAGAATCGTTTCTCCTATCACGCGACGCAAATGAGTCTTGGCAGACTTTACACAAGCTTCAAAGATCCCTCCCCAGCTTGGACAAGCTGGTGGACTAAACTTCCAGATTATCCCACGCCGGGAGAGGGCGGTTCCAATGTCTATCTTATTATCAACTAGAAACTTAATTACATCCTTAAGATAATTACAAGCTCCCTTATAATTAGTTCCACAATCAGAACGTATCAATGTCGGCAGTCCTCTACGGGAAACAAATCTGCTTAGGGCAGCTATAAAAGCTTCAGTAGACAATTCCGATACAATTTCTAAGTGTACAGCCTTGGTGGATAGACACACAAATACACACAAATAAACCTTATACGTTTTAGCATTACGTAGCCTCGAAGCCTTTACAGGGAAAGGACCGGCGAAGTCGGTAGCGACTCCGGTAAAAGGTCTGCATTCCGTGACGCGATCAGCAGGCAAATCTCCCATCTGGGGCTGCATAGTTGCGGCTTTTAATCTATAACATGGTAAACAACGAAAAATGACTGTGCGAATAACTCGACGGGCGGACAGAATCCAGAATTCATGCTGTAAAATGGCCAACAAGGCATTACAGCCAGGGTGCTGCGCCTTCACGTGACGATCGGTTATTATCAAGCGCACCAAGTGTCCATCTTTAGGCATCAAAAGGGGGTGGCGAGCTCCATACGGCAGGTTGGCATTTCGGAGTCTTCCGCCGACTCGTACAAGACCATTCCCATCCAAGAAGGGATTCAGGCGCGACACCGCGCCCTTCAACTTGCGACGACCTGAACGCAAGATCTCAATCTCTGATTTAAAGCTATCAGACTGCACCATTCGGATCCAAAACAAAAGAGCTTCTTGACGCTCATCTGGACTGAGAACCGACGAATCACGCTTTGCTCGTGGGTTTTTACAATTGTGCAGAAAACGTTTGATCCAAGCGGTAACACCAAGCAGCTTATCCAAGGAACTGTACCGATTCAACAAAAAATCCTTATCATCGGCGGGGGAGGTCTCCAGGACGCATGCCCGCATTTCGGGAATGGCTACGTCTGACAACGCTGGAGAAGGCGGCCACTGAGACTCAGACCGCGTCAACCACTGTGGGCCCCACCAGAGAGGATGGCTAACTAGAGTTGAGGCTGCACAACCTCGAGACGCACAGTCGGCGGGATTCATGGTTCCCGGTACATGTCTCCATATCAAGTCGACTTCCGAACTACAAATCTGGGACACTCGATTGGCAACAAAAACCTCCAATGTGTGCGCCGGAGCCTTCAACCAACAAAGGACGACCTGACTGTCGGTCCACGCAAAACTCTCTGTATTTCTATCGACCTACCTAATGTGAGCCATACGTGGTTCAACAAACGCATCAAAAGGGCGGCTCCACACAATTCCAACCTCGGGATCGTATGACGAGTCCGAAGGGGAGCGACCTTGCTTTTTGCAATGACTAAATGCACAGAAACCATTCCA